TGCTTTTGCTGATTTTTATGAAGATTTAAACGCAATTTAAATGAACTATGTTATCACTTGGTAAAACGTTTAAAAAAAAAAGAAAAGAAACTAAAGAAAGGGAGAAAAAGGTAACTATTTGCGAGAGTAATAAAATACAATAGATAATAGTTTTCCTTCTGCAGAACTTTTCTTATTAATTAGAACATCCTTTATTAGGCATTCATATCAAAGGAAACAAATATAGAAATGGACAACTTTGACCACTAATGTCATAACTTGACATCTATCACCATAAATTGGCAACTAACTTCATAACATGGCGAATACCAGTTGCTACACAATAAATAAATAAATAAATAAAAAGAAACAAGCTTCAAAAGTGTGCTTAATGACCAAGGCTAAATAACTAAAAAATAATAGAATTAATACATCTTTACAAGATTACTCAACAATTCCTCTCTTAAAATGAAAGTGTTCAACATCCAGTTTAATAAACTCTCCATACACAAACACCAAGTAGTTTTCTAAGCTTTTGAAACTTGGGCGACCTGAGTGGCTTGGAATATCAGCAAATTGGTCTTCACTTCTGCAATGAATAAGATCAATGACTCCTTCCATATAATCTCTCAAAAAAAGAAACATCACATCGATTGCTTTCTTATACCATGTAGAACGAGATATTTGAAGAGTTTGTTGCTAACTTGTTGTCACAAAAAGTTACAGTTGTTCCAACTAGCTTACGATGTAGCTCTTCAAGAAATTTTCTCAACCAAATAGTCTAACAAATATAAGTTGTTGCAGTGACAAGTAAACTTTGGTTCAGTTGTTGATGAAGTAATAATTGCTTACTTCTTTGAAGGCCGTGAAACAACTCCATAACCCATCATAAAAACATGACTTGATGTGTTTCTTCTATCATCTTGATCTCTAACGTAACGAACTAAATTTGCATTATCACCTTTCAATAATATAACCCAAAATCAATTGTACCTAGCATGGTTGTTTTATTTTTTTATTTTTTTATTTATTTTTTTTTTGTTTTTGTTTTTGCAAAAAGATGAATTTCCTCTAGGTATTCCACATATCTACTTATAAGACTTGCAACATGCATTAAATCAATTCTCGTTATAGTTAATTACATCAAGCTTCCCACAATTTTCTTATATATTGTTGTCAAAATTTCTTCTTTTAAAGTCATTCATCCGCTTCAAACAAAATTCAGTTGTCGTGCTAACAGAGTTGTAATTCTTCATTAGAAACTTGTCTAAAATATCATACATAAATTTCTTTTAAGAAAAAAAAATGCTAGCAGGAGTTTGCACCACTGCAAGGCCAGGAAAATAATGCATCATTGAGTGCTTAAAATTTTAAACAGGAACAGTCATTTCAAGTATAAATTAGATCATCCACAAATAAAAAATTAATAAATGATTTTCCTCCATCTCTAATTTTAATAAAAAGTGCATGTTCGCATGGACATTATAAAAATCTTCCTTTAATAAATATGCTTCAATGTAAATATACCAAGATTGTGGAGCTTGTTTTAGTCCATTAAGAGCCTTTTTTTTTAATTGATATACTTTATGCTCATTTTCAATCTTAATATAACCATGTGATTGATCAATAAATAACTTTTCTTCTATGTCTCCATGCAAGAATGTCAATTTTACACACAACCGATAAAATATGTTATGAGTTTTGAACTTTTAAAGAAGTCATCAATCTAATTGTATCATGCCTCATTTTAGAAAATACATCCATGTAATTGATCTTGGTGTCTTGTTTGTATCCTTTTACTACTAAACAGAACTTGTACATTCTTCTCTGCCATTCTTCTTTAATTTCTTCCTGTACATCATAACAGTGATCCATTTGGCCACCGTTTGAGTTGATAATAGGCCTAAAAAATTAATAATCAACACAAGTTCATCACACAACTAGAGTCTGAGCCTAAGTTGATATTGGTCCTAATAAAAGATAGCCTCACATACTAAAGATTGTTGGGCTTCTCATCCTTCTTGGTGGTCTACAGGCGGATGAATGGGGCATACACAATGGCTACTTGGTGGTGCTCCACAGCTGATTTGAGTCCATCATGGTCTATGGGATATGCTTGACTGAAGGGGCGCGACTGAAGGAAGCATGAGCAGAAGAAGCTTAAGTGGAGGAAGCCATGCATGATGAAAAGTATGAGCAATGACAGAAGAAAATGATAAGATTAAAACCTCCAGGGCCAAAAGCATATGCTTTTATAAGGGACAAAAAAATGATAACCGCTTAAAAATGCACAGGGGTAAAAAGGGATACAAATAACGGAAATCAAAAGAGTATGACCGACATCACATCTTAAATAACGAAATAGAAGTCGAAGCATCAATATTTTATAAAGAATTTATCATTACGAAAGTTGGTACATCAACTTGAAGAAAGAAAAATTATTAATACAAGGATCTGATATGACCTTAAACATGAGGTAGCCCAGTCGGATGAGCGTCTTCAACAGAAACTCTCATCTAAACCTAAATTGTCCTAGCCAAACTGAATCAGTTTGGGCCTAAAGAACCAAATTTTGTTATGTAGAGCTTCCACTATAAGAAGAGCTTCAAATATCTTCCCAACTTAGCATCATGTTCTAGGCTCACTAACGTAGCCATGCAGTCAACCAATTAAGTAGGAAACACGACATCACCATGTGCATGAGGATTGTCATCCAAAAAGCCTATCGTCTCAGGATCTATCACAAGTAAGTTGTCTTGTCCCTCCTCGGCCTAGGCGCCACCTCTGCTGTTAATCTATTCATCCTTAACTCTTTGATCAGAACGCCCAATGCTTTTGCACAGTAGCTCATTGCTCAAGAGTAGAACCAAAAACTCATTCAAGTTTAAGGAAGAAGGTTCATCTAGTTCATAGCCTTAAAACATAAAACACATGCAATGAACCTTAACAAGTCATAATCAACCATAGTGAACATATATCATCCATACTCATCGCTCGTAGACGCTCAAACACATCCGATAAAGAAGGAGCAGATGAATCATCACCTTGAGCCACTTGAATGCTCTATTATGGAATCCCAACAGAAGCTGATACACCCACTAGTCCTCCTAGCCCAAGGATGACAACAAGCTAATTTGGTTCAAGGATTTTGGTACCCTCTCTAGTGGTAGCAGTAGTAAAGCTCTATGAAATGTGAAGAGCATTCTTTGGAGGCATACCGGGAGACCCTAGAGGACCAATGGATTAACATTATTAGATGCCTAGATGGTGTCATTGAGGACCGTTGGGAGGATCCATGTTGGGTTGGTGAACGATCAACACAATCGAAGGCATTAGTGACACCCTCTGTGACCACTCAATGAGATATCTAATTGTTTGTTGATGGAGCATCCTGATTATTCTTCAACCCGTTACATCGCACACACTTACCAAACACGATCATAAGGAGTGTTTTGGTTGAGACATTAGCTTGGGCTGCATTAAGCTTCTTCATCGGTAGAATTTTATATTGAGGACAACAAAGTTAGACTGATAAACTAGAGCTTAATGAAATTCTAAGAAAGTCTTGTCGAACTATTTATAAGAGCACGAGACTTAAAACTCAATGGACTATTTAAAGCTTTAAACATTTATTGTAGATCTAAGAAATAATTTTTTGAATCTATTAATTATTTGGCTCTTATTACATCATGACTTCCTAAGATTTGAGAAAATCAGTGAATTAAATATGTACATAAGAAAATGTTTGTATCTTAAATGGTGTTGAGATCAATGGACGTGATTAAATAAAGATGGGCAACAAAAATGCTTCTCTAGGTGGCCTAGAGGTTACCACAAGAAAACTTCAAGGGATTAATGCAGACACTAAAGAGCCAAGGAATTGTGACAGGTCATGGACACCAGAGGCTAACTGTCATAAAGTTGAACAAACTCTAAGGCCAAACGGTGACAACAGATGTATGAAAGATTGATGTAGACTGTAATTATTAGTTTAGACGGCAGATCACAAGTTCAATAGACTCGACCTCCCATGGGCTGACACTTGATATGGCACAATCGACACTCAAAGTCATAATTGAATAGCTCAAAGCCGGGAATGGATGCACAACCATTTATGATCATCCTCGAGATAAAGATCAAAAGAGGAATGATATTTCGTGAAGGTGTTGTCCTTTCGAGTATTACTGCTAGAAGCGAGTGACCGAATTGAAGTTGTACAGGGCCCTGCTTGAGCATTTTGGTGGGAATCTTTTATTTTAATGATAAGACATCTCTTTTCAGGGTGGGTCAACTCCTATAAATAGGAGACATTGTATAGAAAAAGAAAAGATTCAACGATTCTCAATCCTCTATTAAGGAATCCCTGTCAATTCATTAAAATCTCATTCGTCTTTCCGAATATTATTTCCTTGTCTCATATGTTTGTTCTATCCCTTATGCATGGCTCGAGGAAGAATCTTGGTTCAACACAATTTGATAGTCTAAATTGATCCCATCTTATATTTTTTTTTATTGATAAGAAAATAAAATGATATTCTCCTAGTAAGATCAATCTTGTCCAAACACTCATTTTGATTTTAAGCATCTAAATTTTGAAGCTTTTTTGATCTCTCAAATATTGTTGAGTAGTTTAATTATATTTATAAGTCTACACTCATTTGAGCTCTAATCAAATCGCTTACAGCTATTTCCAAGTTGTCTAGTCAAATTAAACTTAATGGATTGCAAACTTATCCAAAAAAGGATTTGAATGATCTCATAATTAATTTTTAAAATAAAATTTTCAAATATTTATAAATTATTAAAGCGACAAAATTATATCAGACAACTGCCTAATCTCCTGCGCCAGTCTGAATTCATCTCCTCCAAAGTCTTAAACAGATAAGTTGAAGCAAAAACGATCTCTTTCCTGAAGTGTCAGTCCACAAAAATACAAACCAATGTGAACACAGAGTGCTTGCGTGCGAGGTCACTCAATATAAATACATAGTTTCCAAGTCCAAGGCAGCAGAAAGTCGGCCATGAGAAACCTTTACGCTCCATTGCTTCTTCTTCTTCCTTTTCTCCACTCGGGATTTGGACAGATTCTTTTCCAGGTACGCAAGATCATAGATTTTTGTTGCTCGAGCTTAGCTGTTCGAATTTCTGTCGTGTCCAATCTGACTTTGGCTCGTTCGCAGGGCTTCAACTGGGAATCATGGAAACAGGGAGGAGGATGGTATAACTTATTGAAAACCCAAGTAGCAGACATCGCTGCCATTGGAGCCACACACGTATGGCTTCCTCCTGCTTCGCATTCTGTTTCTGAGCAAGGTTCTGATCCACCCTCTGGTCCAGTTTTTTCACTTTTTTTTTTTTTTGAGTTGAATTTAAAAAAAATCATTAATTTTTTTATTAGGTTGGGAGAGGTAACCTTTTTGATCTTGAACTCTAACTTAGGATCTAGTTAAGGAGGAGATATTCGGTGTGGACACGTTTGTATGAGTGTCAAGTCGAGTCTGTGAGTCTAGTTGGTCTTTTGGGAAAACAATTTTAGAATCATCTTGAGAGCTGATTCAAAGTTGGATTAGTAAGATTGACTAATTCTACTTTCAAAATATTGATTCTTCTACCAAATTTAACTTTTCTAATCAGTTGATTTCACACTTATAAACTGTGGTGCGGCCCGAGGCTGCTGAGTGGGCATTCCATAAAAGCGATGCATTCGCTTAATTGGAAAATTAGGAGGAAAAGAAGGTAGGGGATTCAACCTGGATATTTGCTTTCAAGCATAGAATGTGCTGGTATGAACAATATTAAAAATAGTTGTACTACTTACTGTTTAGTGAGGTATCTATTTTTATTTTTTATTGTTCGAACTGAATATTTGCTTTTAAGTATGCAATGCGCTACTATAAACAGTTCTCTTGTAAGCAATATTTTAGTATCGAGAGACAATTGTCATTTGTTCAGAAACAGTTATAGCACAACTATCTCAAAACTCAAAAAAGAAATAGATATTCAGCTTATCCGCACCACAACAGACTCTTAATGATCTTAGTAGTTTATCTTTAAGTTTTGCTTCCTTGCAGCTTTTACTTTTCATGCTAACCTTTTAAGCTATGAAGCATGGCCAACTTTCTACCTTAACTTGTAGATATTTTATAAAAAAATTTGTTGAGAAATCTATTGCTTTTGCTATAATTTGTTTTTGGGATAATTACACACAACATTTGAAATTTTGCTATTTACAAAATTAACACCCAAATAATTTTTTTTAAATATGGAATTGTTATATTAATAAGTGCCACAATCAAATCACAAAAAATTTGATAAAAAAGAAAGATATGGATTAAAATCTTATCATTCAATTTGATATTTGATTAAGAATTTGAATGAGTATACTAAATTTACAAAATAGTAACGTTCCGGTGTCATTTATGTAATTGGAAAAGTTATTCCATACGAATATTGTATGCAAAAATTTATACGGTGTCCGATCTTCATCGCCCATCAAAATAAATTCAAAAAAAAAAATTAAAATAGAATTCACCATCATACATCTTTACTGTGATGAACAGACCATATCAAATAATTTTTCATGTAATTGCCATTTATTTAATTTAAAGAACGAACATCATTTCTATCTTGTATCTCAGAAATAAAGAACGGCAACAAAAATTTAATAAAATCGATAGTAACGGCAACAAAAATGTCGACTTTTCATTCGCATAAAATTTTCTTATTAGCATAAAATTTTCTTATTATATTTTTACGCGCTCATTTTTTATATCTTTTCCCTATCGATATCTACTCTACCATTCCCCAAATTCTCAACCGAACAGAAATCCTTCTCAGGCTACTTGCCAGGAAGGCTATACGACCTAAACGTTTCAAAATACGGCAACCAGGCCGACCTCAAATCCCTAATCCAAGTCTTCCATAACCATGGAATCAGATCCATCGCCGACATCGTCATAAACCATAGAACCGCAGAGAAACAGGACTCAAGGGGCATATACTGCATCTTCGAAGGAGGCACACCAGATGCCCGTCTCGATTGGGGACCTCACATGATCTGCAGTGATGACACCGCCTATTCCGACGGAACCGGCAACCCAGACACCGGCGCCGGCTACCCCCCTGCGCCCGACATCGATCATCTCAACACTGACGTCCAGCAAGGGCTCTCAGATTGGATGAATTGGCTCAAAACCGACATTGGATTCGACGGCTGGCGACTGGACTTCGCCAAGGGGTATTCGGCTGCCACGGGAAAGATCTATTTGGAGAGAACGGCGCCGAGCTTTGCGGTTGCAGAGATCTGGAGCGGTCTGGCTTATGATGGGGACGGTAAGCTGAGTTACAATCAGAATGGGAATAGGCAGGAGTTGGTGAATTGGGTGGAGGGTGTTGGGGGGAAGGCGATGGCGTTTGATTTTACGACGAAGGGGATATTGCAAGCTGCGGTGGAAGGAGAGCTATGGAGGATGATTGATGGTGATGGGAAAGCGCCGGGGTTGATTGGGTGGTTGCCGGGGAACGCCGTCACTTTTGTTGATAATCACGATACAGGTTCTACTCAGAAGCTTTGGCCTTTCCCATCTGATAAAGTGATGCAGGGCTATGCTTATATTGTTACACATCCAGGAGTACCTTGCATTGTGAGTTTTTCTCTCTTTCAATGCCCACAGAAAAATTTGCGCAGGTAAGATGTTTGCATAGCTGCGTATATCGGAGGTTATTCAGAGGGTATTGAGGATTATAGGTAGGTTAGAGAGATGTTACAGGGGGTATAACGCGGATATAGCCCTCCAATGCCCTCTGAATAATCTCCGATATACGCAGCTCTACAAACGTCTTACGTTCGCAATTTTTTCTCCAATGCCTTAGTAGTAAGCATAACTAAAGAGTGGGTTTTTTGGATCACTTTATTTTTTTTTATTTATATATTGATTTAAAATAAAATATGTTTGGTCATTTGATTAAAATATGATTATTTCAAAAATATCAATTTTGAAAAATATATTAATTTATTTTATAAAAACATCAATTTATATAAAAAGAACTTGTTGTACAAACATATGCTTAGAAACATAAGGCAAAGAACAAAAAAATTAATGCTAAGTATTTTAAGTGGTGCTTTGTTTGCAAAGTGTACCTATGATGTAGCTTAAAGCTTGTCAAAGAGCTTTTGAAGGTATATAAATTTTATTACATACTATTTTAGTTAAAATTGAAATTTAGATTAAGCAAATCTCAAATCAATTTTAATGATCTTAATTAAGGTATGTTTTGGCCAAAGATATCTTGCAATTTATTTATCATGAACAACTCTTAAATTTTGCAGTTCTACGATCATATTTTTCTGTGGGGACTGAAGGACGAGATAAGCAAGCTTGTAGCAATAAGAACTAGAAACGGGATAAACCCAAGCAGCAAACTGCGAATAATAGCTCATGACAGCGATCTATATATGGCAGCCATTGATGAGAAAATTATAGCTAAGATTGGAACAAGACTTGATGTTGGGAATCTTCTTCCTCCTGATTTCAAATTAGCAACTTCTGGTAATAACTATGCTGTGTGGGAGAAAATGTAAGCAACAATGGCCAATCTATAAATTGTCTTTGCCTATGAATTTCTTCCTAGTTGGTGTTTGAATGGTCAGCTACTTAATTTTCATGGTAATTTGGTATGCTGTGAGAGCAGGTAATAGTAATTTAAATATTGTGGTAATACTTTCCAGCCAACTATTAGGATGTATCAAAGAACACGTTTTCATTAGAAAAATGCCATTTATAGTAACCTCCATAGTAATACATTCAACATTTTGAAGAAAACAAGTTGCCAAATTACACTACCTAAACCATTAAGCTAAAATCATTGATGACCAATCTCTATGATTCCAAAGGTATAAAAAGCGGTTGGGTGCATTTCTCTTCTGGGCATATGGATTGAAGACATAAGGATTGAATTTGAGTTAAGGCTCGAGTTGTAGCTATTTAAATTAAAAGCAACTAATAGTGGGGTGAAAGAAAAAATTTCTATTTTATGGGTTCTATGTATGCTCCATCATTCTTCTTTGCCCAAAGCTCCTCCAAAACTCTATAAAAAAAATTCCCACTAATGATCTACATTGCCCTAATAATAATACCATCTTTCCTTAAAAAGTAATCCCATCAAAATTTGCAATTTGTGTCTACTAAAAATGTTAAAATGAGTACTCTCACATAGCTGGGCATTGGGCACCCAATTTGGGAGCTTGATTGTGAATTTTTATGAGAGATGTATTTCTTGAAATTTGTAAAATGGCATGTGAACCCAATTTTGGGTGCCTAGGTGCTTTGTTTTTCCTCTTGGCACAACGAATAGTTGCATAGGTGTGTGAGGCATTCACGCTTTCTGCATGTCAGATTTAGCTTGAATGGTCACAGTTGCTTTTTCTTTGTCTTGCATATAAAACCATCATTTTTTTTTGCATAAAAAAAATAATTTAGTTAGTGCAATAGGTTTCTTAAAATTAAGCTTCTGATAAAATGCAATATTTGTAAAGCACCTAATTTTTCCCCCTTTAAGTTATAAAATTTTTCCAATGTTCAAAATGTGCAAAGTAGATCATTTTATTAAACTTTTTATTTTCATAAACTTAAAAGGAGTTTCACAATATTAGCAATATGCAAATTGTTATTGAGATATCTATGTTTTTCTAGATGCCTCCACTGAAGTAGATGAAGTTGAAATCTCTTTAGGACATAGGGTTGATTAAGAATGAGGCCTTCCATCAATTGAAGTGGTTATTAAGGAAGTCCCTAAACTAAATGAGGCTATTTCTATGAAGTTCTTATTAAGATGCCTCCACTGCGCACCTAATTTTTCCCTAATTATTATGGGCAACACAAATTTATTATTTCTATGAAGTCCCTAAACAATTATTTGTATGCAATAAGTTTCTTAAAATTAAGCTTCTGATAAAATGCAATATTTGTAAAAATAAGGAGTTGGCCCCTTAGCTAGACTGAAATATCCTTAAGTGTGTATTCCATAGAATAACTTCAAATATAGGTGAACATGAGCTTTTAAAAATCATCCAAATGAAGAAGTGTCGGCCGGATTTTTATTATGTTGATTTTGATGGTCTAAAAAAATAATTTTTTATATTTAATTTAATATATATAAATTTGATTTTAGAAAGGAAGTATGTTAATTTTGAAAAATAATGTTTTAATTTTAAAATTATGAGACTGAATTGATCTCATATATGCAATAGTTTAAATGATCGAGCACATCACCACAAATGATTTACATATCCTGGGGAATAGACATATTACTTGACAATGAGACTTAATTAAATAGACAATAGAATTTATGACATTCTCTTTGGTCTACGTAACCACCTTTTTTTATATGAACCAACAAGTTACAAAGTTCTCTATAGAGACGAGCCTCTACAGTTAATTACATCTTAAGTGACCGAAGTTGCTTAAGAATACTCTCGATTCAGATCAATGGCTTTGCTCTCAAGAATTCCAAAGTTCACTGTTTTCAAGACTGTACATTAGAAATTTAAAAGGGGTTGGATCAAGTAGGAATAGTTATTTTCAGGAATCCAAAGGAATGAAAGGTAGGAGATGTCATTGATCCGAGGGAAACCACGGTGACTTCTCAAGCTATCCTATTGTTTGACTTTAATTTAGAAATGATATTACTTGATGTTTCATCCTGCCAATTTTATTATTTAAGGGCTTACATTTGCATGACACGATCTTACAAATAACCAGGAAGATAGAAGGGTTTATGTCGTAACGAACGATGACCTTAGAACCTAAAATGGGTTAGGATTTAGATTGCACACCATAGTTGTGCAAAAGCCTAAAGATGAGTTGAGAATTTATGAAATACTAGACAAGCTATCTCGAAGTCTAATGACCTGTTATTTAATTCTAAGGAAAGATGTGTTGGTGTAAATCGGGTTGCTCTCTCACAGTTGTTATTCTATTCATTCCTGTCATGCTGCCTACGGTGTTAGCTCCCACCTCCTCTTTGAAGTGATAGCTCCAGGTATTCAAGGTGTAAGATTTTAGAGTTTTCATGTCAAGTTTTGTTGTTCAAGTATTATGACGTTGGGGGGGGGGGTCACTAATTTTTAGTGTTCATGATTATTTATAGAAATATCACATGGAAATGTTATTAGAGACAAATATAACTTACATTTGCTCAGAAAAAAGAGTAGTTAGATCGGGCTAGAGTGTAATTGAGGTTACTAGAGTGCTCTATTGTTTAGTGTGTTGAGTCTGTGTGATTTTCTCCAAAAGAGTTGTTAAGAGAGGGAGAGAAGTGAGAGATTTCTTCTTCCATATATCTTTAAAGAGAAAATCAAGAGTCTTATAAAGAGAGAAAGAGTTCAAGAGAGGCTACAAGGGATTTGTTTTGAGAAAGAGTTACAGATAAGTGACGTTTGTTTATTATTAATGTATAAAATTTCATTTATTTATGAAATTCATATTTTGTTGTATCTTTCTTATGATGTTTGAGTAGTTTTCTATGTCTTTCTCCCTACTATGAAATATGGTGAAAAGAAGAGATAATTTGGATTTGCCAATTCTAAAATATAAAATAAATTGTGATGATCTTTTCTTTATGTTCTTAATTTACTTTTCGATCTGGCCAATTGAAATGTTAAAATTTGTTGTGAAACATATGATTTGGGAAATGAAGTATTAGTTCTACAACAAAGTGAGAATCACATTCAATTCTATGAAGACGTGTTTCGTTCATAGAATTGGGTGCAAATAAATAGAAAAATATATATTATTGGGAGAAGAATTGGAGATTTTAGGGTGACAGATTAAAGTCCCCAATTTGGTCTTAGTGTTTACGAACTAAAATGAGAGTTAAACTTCACGGGAAGTGAAGTGGGAGCTCTGGAGTGAGAGCAAGTATCCTCCTAGCCTAACTACGAATTTAGAAACTAAACCTAAGATTAGCCAACGATTCTCTAGAACACTTGACCTAGGGTAATGAATTAAAATTACTCCTATTTGGCACAATATAAATTCAAACCATTTATCTCTCTCATTTAACTAAAAACTCATTGTAGTGGAAAATATGTTCTGTCATATTTGATAACTTCATCACAGAAACATAGTTTGGTACTTGTAGTTTAACTTTATTTTACAGTCTTGCTATTAGTTGATAATTTAGTTCTGATAGCACCTTAAACATTTGCAACTAGCATAATAGATATTCTTTATTATTGTGAAATTTCTAAACTAAATTACTATTTCAAATTTAAACCTTCCTCGTAGGATCGATATTTGGATCTTAAATAGAAAGACCTGTATTAATTGATTACAATATGTATACTTGCGTAGAATCCGAATATAAATTGCTTCAATTTCTTATTCATAAATAACGAACTAAGTTTTTGGTATCGATGTAAAGCAGAGTCATCTTCATTAATTTTACACAACTATAATTTTTGGGATCAAGTTTTTGGCGCCGTTGCCAGAGAATGTAACTGTAAATTAAATAGATTTGGTAAATTAGAAACAACAAAAAGAAATTAAAAATTTGATCGAAATGACGAATAACTTAAATATTCAAATAAATGATAATCGACAAAGACCTTTAAGAGATTATGCTAATCCTATAACAAATGAACTTCACTTGACTATTCAAAATCCTGATGTTCATTTAAGCTTAAACTTGTTATTATCCAAATGGTACAAATCAATTAGTTTGAAGGAACACCTATTGAAGATCCTAACTTACATCTTGCTAGTTTTCTTGAAATATGTGCTAATTTTAAATATGATGGAGTGCTTAATGATGCTATCAGGCTCAGACTTTTTCCTTTTCATTAAGGGATAGAACTAAAGCTTGGTTAAATTCATTAGCACCTGGATCTATCAGAACTTGGGGAGAACCATCACAAAAAATTTTGGCTAAATAATTTCCACCCTAAAAAACTGCTAAGCTTAGAAATGATATTACATCTTTTTGTCAGTTCGAAGGGGAATCAATATATGAAGTTGGGAAAGATTTAAAGATCTCATTAGGAGATGTCCACACCATGCTTTACCAGTTTGGTTAATAATTCAAATTTTTAATAATGGATTAGTAGGATCACTTAGATCTATTATAAATGCTGCTACAGGTGGATAATTAATGTCAAAACCTTTTGATGAAGCATATGTTTTAATAAAGGAAATGACTAGTAACAATTTTTAATGGCTAACGACACTATTTTTGGTGGGAGGAGTTGCCCGTTGGAAGCTGTCAGTTACCGAAATCAAAATCTCATTGCCCACTTTGGAAGGGCATTTTAATTTACATACATACATACATATATATATAGTTTATAAAAATATGAAATCAAACTGATCTCATATTTTACATAGTTTAAATGAAAGAGCGTTATACCTCAAATCTTGTATCTATCCCGAATGATAAACACAAGACTCAAGGATGAGGCTCGTTCAAATAAACTAAGAAATATATGATATCCGTTTGATATGCGAAACCATTTTTATTTGCCAACAAGTTCCTCTATTTAATATGAAGAATTAAATAGGGTTTATATTAAGCTGGGTTCTGAAAAGATTCCTATAAGGGCAAGCCCCTATAGTTAATTACATCTTAGATAATTGAAATCACCTAATAAAACTCTCGATAATAATCAGGAAATATTGTCTTTAAAGAGGTCAAAAGGATAAGACTTTTCAACCAAATCGGACAAAGAGGTGTGAAAGGGGAATGATTCAAATTTGGA